TCTAATTTTTTTCCCTGTTGAAAGCTTCATAGCATCATGTATATGAAGTACTTCATACTTCTTAAGTGTTAAGTTTCATATCGTAGCTGGTGGGTTAAGGTTCATTATGTACACTTGGACATAAAGAAACTTGAACAATGTTGTGTGACAAAATTTCTGATTTTTTCAGTAATGCTGGAAAGAACTTTTGCAGGTTTCAACATCTGTTCTCCTCAAAAAAATAAATGATAAAACTTCCCACTAAGTTATCTGTAAACTTATGCTTGTCAGCAAAATACTTGCATAAAAGCTGCTTCTCTCTTTCTTGTTATTAAATTTAAATGAAGTAGACATTTTTATAGTAAGGCAATACCACTAATCTGATTTCTAGCTTAAATTTATCTTACTTGAACCTATGAGAATAATCTCTTTTCAACTTTTATAATACATAGTGTTTTATTACCTAAACACTACCTAAAGATCCGTTACTGTTCAAAATCTGTATGTGAATATGATGAAAGCTGGTGTGTCAGAGAATAGAGCCTTGCATCCAACTCTAGTTAGTGAGTGTCTTCAGTTTTTAACATGTTGTTGTCATCGATGCAGTTTGAGATACTCATGCCTTTGTCTCTGTGTCTTCTCCTTCCCCTTTCCATCCAGTATTGTTGTCCAGATATGATAAATAACTTTTTCCTGGGAATGCCCAAAACAGAATGTTCAAGCACAGCAAGCAAGACTGCTGAATCGGAGAAAGGAAAATTGATTATGTTAGTTAATGACTTTTATTATGGGAAACATGAAGGTGACACCCAGCAGGTACAACAGGAGCAGAAGACTCATACGACATTTAAGTGCTTCAGTTGTCTGAAAGTTCTTAAAAATAACATAAGGTATTTGAACTCTCTTCCTTAATTGTTTGTTAATCACTTACAGCCCATAGCACTTAGTCTCATGCATTAAAAATTTGTGTCTCTGGAATAAAATTTTTTTTCTCATTGAAAACTGGTAATATTGGGTGACTGAACAGAAATTAAATTAATTCTTAATGTGTATGGCCATAACTTAAACTTCTTACAGATTAGAGTACAAATTCTAATGTTGTCTAACGTAGAGTTTGAGTGAGAGCAGTTGTAGGACTCTGTTGCCCTTTCTAACCCCAAAGTATTTTACAATTTGCCATCTGTATTGATGGCGATATCAGTAGATGCAAGTGTTAATTCCCTTTAGGGATGCAGAATGACTAATGGTGGTTTACTTATGTAACATCTGTTATTTTGATGGAATAATTTTAGTTCCAAGTGCTGCAAATAACTTCAGTAAGCTGTTTTAGTAGGTAGACAAGTTCATGTCATTGTTCCTTTGGAAGTTAAGGTCATTGAACTTTTTTACATGCATTCTTCAAGGGGAGCTGAAGTAGCAGAATGTAAAACTGAAAAATGGTCTATTTCTTCAAAGGAAATAAGGAATGAACAGGTTTATGCTAACATGAGACCCATACTATTGTCCAAAACAGAAGTTTCATGTAATTACAAACATTAAATTTGCTATTAATCATTAAATGAGGGTAAATTTTAAGTAAAAGTGTCAGTAATTTTTCTTAAGCAGCTTGAAAATGTTGTATGTTGTTAGACTTTAAAAGAGTTTACTCTCATGATTTTATAGTTTCTGTTAATTATGGCATTTTTTTCCCTTGCAATTTATCTTTTTAAGAGCAATAAAAAATGTTTGATATGGCCTGAGAGGTTTTCCTTCTGTTTGCGTGTGCATAATATTTTTCAGATAAACCTTTCTTTGAGTATCATGAAAAGTAGACCACAGGAAGAATATTTTATTAAGATACTGGGTTCAGTTAAAAAAATATTTAGTAAGCATTATTTTCTACTCAGCATTATATTGTAAGCTGTTGGTGCTCTGGTGCCTGTATGTTCCACAGCAAGTCTTTAGAAAATAAGCACTTAATTTTTTTCTTTGAATTTCTCTTGAATCGACTTTCAGCCATGTTAATTTTGGCTGTAACTTTGTAGCTTTATTCCATAGTTCTATAACTTCAGAATCTTTATTCCAAGATATCTTTTACACCTTTAACCATTTACATGGACAAAATAAATGCATAGTGCCTCTCTACTTCTAGTGGAACTTTTCTGGAAAAGCACAAAGTGATTAATCAGGGTAATCCCCCGCTGCTTTTGAAAGAGCTATGGTTGAACACACCATTGAAATAATGTTCTGTTAAGGTAATATGCAGTACTAGTGTCAATTCCTTTCATCTGCTTAGGTACCTGGATATATTCAGTTAGATATTTTGGGGTTTTGTTTTGGTTTTTTACTTTTTTGGTTTCTTTATGCTGCTGCATGATATTAGAAGCTTGAGCTCAAGAGACTATTCTCCTTACTCATTTGTTTTTTCCAGTTCCAAGGTCACTACTTTGAGAACTACATTCCTTTTGTGAGTGTGACCTACATTTAATAGTTCCTCTGGCTGTACTGAAATGAAGCACATTCAGAATAGAACAGTTTTTGAAGTTTAATAGTAGTGAGTTGTGCAGCTAACCTGTCCTTGTGCTTCTCCACCAGTAACTGTGACCTGCCAACGTTGTCGTGGGTGCGTAGACTTCTCAGCCGGAATAGGTTTCTACTACAGATAGGTGGACATATTAATGAGGAAAAGGTGGTAACCTGAAGTAATAACATACCACCAACTTTCTCATGCTCTTGATTGTCAGTTGCACAGTGACATTCTTTTGATAATTGTCCTTGATAATTCAACTTCAATCCTAAATGCTTTATACAAAGAAAACTCCTGCTGGTGGTTTTCAGTTACAGCTATGATGTCTTAATTGCAGATATGTTCTTGCTACTTAAGTTTTCACTATAGTTACAGTTATACTTACTTCAGAATGTGGCTTTGAGATCCTGGTGGGGGTGAAGTGTGAACAGCTGACATGTTTTGTTGTTGTTGCCTTTGCTAATTTCCATTTATTTCAAGGCAAGAATTTTGTCTAAGCAAAAATGAAAAATGCACTAGATTGCTTAGTCTTAGAACATGTTTCAGGTATGTTGCATGTTCCTTATTATAGTCCAGTTTTCTTTTTAAGCTTTGAAAGATATTTCTGGCATATTCATCTTGCTTAACTTCGTTGCCTTTTTTTAATGGACAATTATTCCTTAGATTTTTTTTTAATTGCAAAGTCCTTACAGAGTAAAGTTTCTAAAGAATAAGGAATCCTGTGCATCTTGCATGTGAGATGCCTTGTATACTGAATGTTAAAATGTAGTTTTTTTGCACCTGTTCACTATCATTTAAAGGTTTATGAACCATATGAAACATCACTTGGAGCTTGAGAAGCAAAGCAGTGAAAGTTGGGAAAGCCACACCACCTGCCAGCACTGTTACCGTCAGTTTCCCACCCCATTCCAGCTGCAGTGCCACATTGAAAGTACACACACGCCTTACGAGTCATCCAGTAAGTTGGACTGAATCACATTGAAGCTTTTTGTGACCTAAGATTTTTAGATATTTTCAGACTTTTTCTTCGCTGGTTTGTAACTTCAGAATAAAGCTGTTGTAATTTTGAGAGTAATGTAGGAGCTGAGCACTCATTCAATTTATGTTAGAGCAATACGTGTGTAGAAAAAAAATTTAAAAAGCTTTTTGTTTTGTGTTTTTTGGTTTTGTGTTATGAAAGCTTGAATGCAAGAATTCATGTTGTTTAAGACTACTGAACTCCTGGCTTCCTGAAATTATACAGGGAATTTCTTCTGAATAGTATTAGATGGCTTTACAATCATTAGATGGCTTTACCAGTGTAGATTTATGCAGTTCACATATACATATGTGTTTATAATTTGTCTACTTATGACCCCAAATTAAATTTTATTTCCTTTTTTTTCACTTTTTCTAGCTATTTGTAAAATCTGTGAATTATCCTTTGAAACAGAGCAAGTTCTTTTACAACATATGAAGGACAATCATAAGCCAGGTGAAATGCCATATGTTTGCCAGGTATCTCAGAGTGACTGTTTTCTATTTAGATTACACCACCTCCCTGTCTTTACTGTCAATAAACTTTTAACAAGAAAGTAAAACTTTTTGTTTTAGGTATGCAACTACAGATCCTCAGCTTTTTCAGATGTAGAAACACATTTTAGAACAGTTCATGAAAATACAAAACATTTGCTATGTCCATTTTGCCTCAAAGTAATTAAAATTGGAGCACCATATATGCATCATTACATGAGACATCAGGTAAGCGGATGTTTTCAATAGTTAGTTTTAGGTAAATGCTAAATATATGTCATGAATCTATCTGGAAAAAAAAGTGTAACTAATTTATATGGTTATTACTGGATAATACTAGTTAATAAAATATAGTAGAAGTATTATGACTGCTTCTTTTGAAAAGTCGTTAAGGGAATTGTTACACTTTGTGATGTTTTTGTGTGAAAGTAGCTTCCTGTTTAAAAAAAATCTCAGAATATCCTTGAAAGAATATCTCTGCTTTTTGGTTTCTTTATTAAGTTGTAGGGATATGTTCTGCTTTTCTTGAGGGTACTAGCAAACCTTTCGCTAGTTCAAGTTGACAAAAAGATTATGAAGTACTGTGTCTTCTTGTAACTTGTAACCTTATTCCTCCTTAGTACTGCCTTGAATTTTCAAGTATTTAAATAGTCTCTCTTTAATTCCTATGCAGTAGCTTGGCTTTATACAATATTAGGAGTTTGTCCGGTTGATATTTTAGAAACTGGATGATCATTGCTTGAGACAAGCTAGGGTTGGAATTTTGTTTATCATGACATTTATGCTTACTATAGATTTTTACTTTTTTGAAAGAAAAAAGGGATATACCGTTGCACTAAGTGCAGACTGCAATTTTTGACTTGCAAAGAAAAAATGGATCACAAGACTCAGCATCACCGAACATTTAGGAAACCCAAACAATTAGAAGGATTGCCTCCTGGAACAAAGGTAAGTGTTAATACAGGAAAATCAGTGGTGGCAAAGGTAAAAAAAATAAAAGGGGGTGAAGCAGGAAGAAGTGCTCTTCTCTCTTCTTTTCCAAAGCAAAGATTTGTTTTGTTTTGTTTTGTTTTGCCACCTCAATAGCTAAAACTCTAAAAAATACTCCCAATTGCAAGAATTACCAAGCACAGTTTATGGTGATCTGTGGTGCTGGTCTCTGTCCCAGTCTTCCATACACGGTATATGCCAGTACTTCAATCAGTGCTGCTGCTTTCTTGGGCTGTTGGTTAATTTGTCCCCTCCCATTTATCCTTTCTTGTGCTAGGAGAAAAGAAGCTAGTCTGGATGTTGGTCTGAGGAGTCTGCATCATTTCTTCTGAAAGAGTTTCAACCTGTGGAAGGTGGTGACAAAAAATCATAGTGTGCAAGATCTACTTCTCCACAGACAATGTGTACTTAAGACGAAGTTCACCAGGTCTTTTAGCTCCATTTGAAGAGGGGGTGGGGAAAAAACCCACAATGTTCTGCTAAGTGTTTTATGAAGTAGACTTGGGTCCCCTCAGAACACTTGCAGAATCGTAGAATCATGAAGGTTGGAACAGACCTCTAAGATCATCAAGTCCAACCATCAACCCAACACCACTATGCCTGCTAAACCATGTCCTGAAGTGCCACATCTACATGTTTTTTTGAACACCTCCAGGGATGGCAATTCCAGCACTTCCCTGGGCAGCCTGTTCCAAAGCCTGAAGTCTTTCCTAATATCTAATCTAAACCTCCCCTGATGCAGCTTGAGGCCATCTCCTCTTGTCCTATTGCTAGTTAGTTGGGAGAAGAGACCAACACCCACCTCACTACAACCTCCTTTCAGGTAGTTGTAGAGAGCAATAAGGTCTCCCTCAGCCTCCTCTTCTCCAGACTAAACAGCCCCAGCTTCCTCAGCCGCTCCTCATAAGACTTGTTCTCTAGACCCCTCACCAGCCTTGTTGCCCTTCTCTGGACACGCTCCAGCAACTCAATGTCCTTCTTGTAGTGAGGGGCCCAAACCTCAACACAGTACTCAAGGTGAGGCCTCACCAGTGCTGAGTACAGGGGCACGATCACCTCCCCTGGCCACACTATCCCTGACCCAAGCCAGGATGCCGTTGGCCTGCTTGGCCACCTGGGCACACTGCTGGTTCATGTTCAGCTGGCTGTCGACCAGCACCCCCAGGTCCTTTTCCGCTGGGCAGCTCTCCAGTCACTCTTCCCCAAACCTGTAGGACTGCATGGAATTGTTGTGACTGAAGTGCAGGACCTGGCATTTGGCCTTTTTGAACCTCATCCAGTTGGCCTCAGTCCATCAATCCAGTCAGTCCAGATCCCTCTGCAGAGCCTTCCTACCCTCGAGCAGATCGACACTCCTGCCCAACTTGGTGTCACCTGCAGACTTACTGAGGGAGCACTCAGTCCCCTCATCCAGATCATTGACAAAGATATTAAAGAAGACCGAACCCAAAACTGAGTCCCGGGGAATGCCACTTGTGACTGGCCGCCAACTGGATTTCACTCCATTCACTACCACTCTCTGGGCTTGGCCATTCAGCCAGTTCTTTATCGAGTGAAGAGTACACCCATCCAGACTATGGGCAGCTCGTTTCTCTGGGAGGATGCTGTGGGGAACAGTGTCAAACGCCTTACTAAAGTCCGGGTAGATGACATCCACAGCCTTACTTTCATCCACCAGACAGGTCACGTGGTCATAGAATGAGATCAGGTTGGTCAAGCAGGACCTGCCTTTCATGAATGCGTGCTGGCTGGGCCTGAACACCTGATTGTCCTTCACATGTCTGGCTAGCACTCAGGCTATCTTTAAATCATTCTTCCAGGAATGAACCACTTCCGGGAAGGAACCGCTTAGACTAGGATTTTCCCCGTAGATTTCAGGACTTCTTCCTACAGTTTTTTAATGATGTGTGAAGATATGTGTCCTTTCAGTTGAAAGGAAGAAGAAAATTAACATTTTCAGCTCTTCACAGTTCATTTGCTGTAGAATCAGGAAGGGAGAATGACTGAAGTGGATGTTGATTGTGTCACTTGGCAGAATGTAAAGCACTGATTCTCTATTCTGTGACAATACCTCAATTTTCTAAAGATTTCAGGGTCTTCATGATCTAATAAAAGCTTAGATGATGTTAAAATTTTGTATTAGTAGACGTTGCCAGAATGTAGGTGATGAGACTGAAGAGCTTGGAACCAGTTTTAGAAGATAAGGTGCTTCTAAACTATGAGTATGGGCAAGAAGTATAATTAGGAGTCATGCTGCAAGTGAAAACTGGAGAACCAATTTTAAGGGCAAGACAAGGAAGTGAGAACACCAGATGAGAGGTTGGAAACTAGAATTAGTCCTTGGGGGTCTAGGATGAGGTGCAAAAAATAGGTGAAGGAGATAGATGAGCTAATGAGGCAACAAGACAGGACTTTTGTTAGATCCAGGCACTGATGGGATTGATATTCTTGTTAGTAGGGCTAATAGGTCTGACCCTTCTGTTTCTTTTCCACAGCTACATTTTTTTGTTGTAAGAGCGCAGGGTGTAGCCAGTTTCCAGGTCTGAAAAGAGAGTTGTTTTGTCATGGGTACTCTTTCCACCAAAACAAGAGCTTTTTAAGAATCCAGTAGACTGTTTAGGTTAGGTTTACTCTGGTCAACAATATTTCATATTTTTCAAAGCAGTCTTTACTGAAGGGGGTTTCTTATGCTATGATTTTTGTCCTAAAGTGGCTGAAACATTAAGACAAATAGAAATGGGAACTTAGAAAGTTTAAATCTAAATAGAAAATTTTTTAATTTCATACTTGTAGGTGACTATTCGAGCATCTGTTGGATCTCTTCAATCAGGATCAGCAGCTACATCTTCTGTTAGTACAAGCACTTCCACGTTTCAGTTATCACCTAAAGCTAAAAATACAACCACAAAAAATCATAACAAATCTAATACAAATAAGTCAAAAGCAAAATCAAAGCCGACTGCATCGAGGAAGCAAAATGCGTGGACCAACAGCAAAAAAAAAAAGGACGTTACAAATATAGCATTGCATCATCTAAGGTAAAATATTATCATTAAAAGTATCTTTAAGTATACTTTGATGACAAATAACTGATCATTTAATTATCTTTCAAGAACTTCTAATACGGCAATACAGAATATTTGACACTTTGGTTTTTCAGGAAAAACAGGCACGTAAATTTTACACAGCCTGGTACTGTGATTGTGATTCTGAATCTTCATTCATGAATTTTTTTGGTGGTAGACTACCTTAGGATGTAAGAATGGATGTTCTGGAAACTTTTCTGTTCTATATTTAGTATTTTTTTCTGCACAGAGCCACAGACTCTTGAAGTACTGACTCATTAGGCAGACATATTTAAAAGTGACTTGTGGAGGGGAATATATCTGCCTGGGTGTTCTTTGAAAGTTTTATTGTGGAGGGAAAAGTATTTTCCTCTTAAGAGTTTTGTTTGAACACATTATTTAAAAGGTTAAGTCTCATCTGTCCTAGGAGATACCTTAATTTGGGGAGCTACCCCAAAAAGAAAATCAAGAAAGTAAAAGCAAGCTGTTGGGAGAATGCTGTACTTGTGTTTACAATTTGCTGGGTTTTGCTATCCTTATATTAATAATTTAGTAGGTGTTTTATGGACTAGAAGACAATTTCATTGGCTAACAGGTTAGCAGTTTTCTTTGTCAAAGATTGTAGACATCTCCGTTCCAATAAGGTGCTAACATTCACAGTGTGTAGCTAAAACATCCAAAAATGGCCAGCAAATTTCAAAGCTTGGTGTGAATATGAGGGGTGAAAAGGCTTTTTCTGTGCATCGTGGTGGATGAAGTGTTTCTTTGAAATCCTTCTCACATACACAGAGGCAACAGCAGCAGCAGAAAAAACAAAACTTTCTCCATGTGTGCTAACTTAACTTGTAATAAGTATTTAACTGATAAATTAAAGTTTCTAATTTTTTTCCCTAATGTAAGCAAGCTTGGTACTGACTTAAAGCAAAAAGTTTGAAATAGTTATCTTCAAGTATTGATATTAACAATTAACTTTTTCATATTAGTGTTAGGTGTCGTTTGGGAACTCACAAATGCATTGAGTGTTACTCGGAAATAAAAGATTTTGCAAGCCATTTTCCTGCTTACGTCCACTGTAGCTTATGCAGATACAACACTAGCTGTAGTAAAGCTTATGTGAATCACATGATGAGGTAAGAACTCTTCAAAATTTTTATGATTTCATAAATTTGTATAAGGTGTGTGAAATGTTTTTATTAGCTAAATTTCTAACTAGGTCATAGGACTGGCAGGGAAATGTGTAAGGTTGGATTTTTACTTTGTACTGAGGGCCCAAACCCCGTGTTCTTGTTTTGCCCTAAAAATCCACTGGTTCAGTCAGTGTTCTGTCTGTGCTTCAGAGTTTCTATGGGTTCTTCTGTAATCATTTTGGCCAGGCATAACAAATAATAATTAATTATCGTGCATTCTCTGGGTTTCAGATGAAGTACCTCCTCTGATTTTACAAGTGCTGAATGCATACAGCCACAGCTATTGCTAATGAAATATGTTTCCAGAGTTCATGTAAAGAATGTCTCAAATAGCGTAGTCCAGTGGATACTTTTTCTTACATCTGGTCATCTGTAAAAATATAAACTCATTTTGCTGGAGGTTTGTCACTGATTGTGAGAAAGTGTCGGGTACTACTGATGACAGCTGTAAAAAAGCCTGTTAAGAAAACAAATGCATTAGTTTTCAGAGCAATAGAATTATATTATGCAATAATTAGACACAGATCACATAGCAATGATGATAAAAAAAAAATTTTGAAAACCTACTTGTTAGTCCTGTGCCCTGAACAAGCCAGTGTATTGCGGGAAAGTACAGAATGCAGTTGTCTTTTTAAATACATGTAAGTATGAAATGCCTTGGCATTTTTTGAATGCTAGAGTCTTGAATTTATGACTCAAGTCTTTGAAAGTTATTGTATATATATCATATGTTGATGTGTTCATACTCATTTCAATGCTCTTGTAAGTCCTAGGCTGAAATAGTTTACGTGCTTTTATGCATATAGCATATTGGTTGCATGCTTAAAAACAACAATAAAATTCATGTGCTTAATTCTGATTGTACAAGAGGAACTAGGGCACTAATTCTCCCCCTGCTTTGACACCTTGCAGCAGCTATCATCACCTTTTTTGGTGAGCATAAGGAACAAGGGATGATAAGGAGGAAGGCTGTTAGGGGGAAGGATGTTTCTGCAGTAGCATCCCCTGTACTCAGCTGCTCGCTTTTTGTTTTGTATGGGAGTACAGTGTTGGCACGTACTTAACCTGCATATGAGATAAATTAAATTTTCAGTCTCTAAGGTATCTCATTGAAAGCTATCTCTTTAGGAAGCGTGAGTTCAGCAAAGCTTCACTTTTTTTGTAGAGCCCTGTATTGCTACAGCCCTGGTGCTTCAAGAGCTAAACTGCTGATGGAAACAATGTGACTGTGTTCTTGCAGACTGCTAATGAAGTTAAGCCTTGCCCTTTCCAAACTCGTTATTTACAGGAGAGCCAGTTTTTTAAACTAGAGTTGAGATTCATAAGCCTGTAAGCTTTCAGCAATTTAAAGTTTTGGAATAGCACAGGTCAATAATTGAGTCTTGTATTTTCATGCCTTGTCATAAGCAAGTCACAGTACCATGTGCAATGTAGGGGATGTGTGGAGTAATGTACTCAAGAAAACCAGTCGAAGTGGTAACATTGTCTTATATTTAGTTTTCACAGTGCTCGTCCAAGTAAAAGATTTTGGATCTATAAGAAGCATTCAGAAGAGCTACGGTAATTCAGCTTTTTTCAGTTACAGATGATTATGTTTTTACTTTCTGATAGTGAACTGATTAGTTAAATGAGATTAGAGCCTCTTGAATTTCTAACCTTCCACAATTAAGAAAAAGCAGGGAAATAAAAACATTAGCTTTTCCACTAGAAATGTACTGTTTAATGACACATATTTGTCCACATTTATTGAGTTCTTTCTTAACCCAGAGCAGTTTTTAAAAATATTTATATTTCTTTATTTTCCAGTTATTCATAATGTGCAAAATGGGGAGCAGGAAAGAAACCAAAAAAGCATCAACCAACCAAAACTGAGAAACTCAAACTTTACAGATAATTTTTTGTCTGAAGTGGTGTTCTTTGTGCTACATCCAGCATGGAGATGCCCTGGTCATTGACTGGGATTTCCAGGTGCTAGCTGCAGTACAAAAAGTACGAATATATTTTAGTGAGTAATCTAAAGTTGTGGGGAATTTTATTTATTTTTTTTATAGTCTGTCCTGTTGCTGTAAGTTAGGAAAACTGTTTTCATAACCATGTTGTATTTATACTCCCTTTTTACTTTCTCTTCTCTAGAGGTGTGACTGTAGTATGTCTTAACTGTGATTTCCTGACTGATGTTTCTGGCTTAGATAGGATGGCCACACATCTGAGTGAAAGCCACAGTCATACTTGTCAAGTTATTATAGAGAAAGGTGGGTACATAGTGTCTTTTTTATATAGTGTACATATATAAATACTTACATGTGGATGTGTCTGTTATTGCAGTCCTTCTTTCAGTTGCATTATTATTTCTATGTACTTGGATTTGAAAGTGAGTACTTCTGTATTTCTACATTTTAAAATATTTTTAATTAAATCCTTTATTTTTATTTTCAGTTTCTGTAGATATCCCAACTGCTGAACAAGTATCTGAGTAAGTTTTGTTTTACTGCTCAATGTTTATTTCTATTAATTTAGTGGCAGATGGCCAAAATTTGCACTTTGAACTTGGGTTTCTTTTGAGTTTTCATAGAATTTGAAATGTATGGATGAATATAGACCCTTACTTTACTAGTGCTTTTTGCTCTTACCATATCCACAATTACAGGAATGGAGAAACAAATTAGTTACCTGCTGCAGCCAAAATCAAAACCAGGTTTGTGTTTGGTTTGGCCAAAGAGACTTAAATAATTCTTGCGATACTAGAACTTCTCAACCTTGACTTCTGAGTCTAAACATAGTGAGACTGTCACTTCAACTTGCTTTTAATACAAGCTTTATTACATGAGTGGTTTATGTTCTTTATGTAATATTAACGTGAATTTTTAAAAAGACGCCTTTATTGAAATAGGACAAATTCAGTCTTAATCTTTTTATAAATATATACCAAATTATTTTCAAAATTATTGTTTATGTGACAAAGGTATACTGTTTTGTATTAACTTTTTAATGCTGACTTTCAAAGAAAAATTAATATGAGGATTTTGGCTTTCAGGCTTTTTTAAGGATTTGAAAAAGAACCTGCAGTATTGCGGAGATTGTGTTGCAGGGTTTGCGTGTTTGTTTTTTTTTTATCTTAGAAGAGTCAGATGTGCCAAGCCATCCCCAGTTATCTTGGAACAGTACGTGAGGCTTTAAATGTAGCTTGTGAGCCTACTTCTGCCTTAATTGAAGGTTCAGAGGTGTGTCAGTTGAATCAAATGTTTGAGTTTTCTTAACCGTTTCAGAAGACAGGAGCAAAAATGTCAATTAGACTGCTAAAAAAGATATCTTAAAAGACAGAAGAAAATAGTTTAACCCTAATTTAACAACAACGTGTCATTAAGTCTATCTAGCCTATGGCAGAATTCTGAGAGGGATTACATATTCTCGTGCAGGATGAGAACTCTTTCAACAGAGCGAGAAGTTCTTAGGTCTCTAAGCATAAATCAGCCTTCACTAAGTGTTGGAAATATCCTCAATAGGTTATTTCTTAACTATGAAGTACTCTCTCTCTTAGTTTCCATAAAGTGGTCAGTAAGAGGGGATACTGGAATAATCTGTCTTCTGATCCAAACATGGAAATACTTGGCTTTGGCGATGAGTAATAGTAGAGCAAAATATGTACTATAAGCTTCAAACATCCACCAGTAACTGTTTAGCATGTGATGCAGTTGAATAAAACAGGTGATCTGATGGGATGACTAATAGACATTATTAAAAAGAATTGAAGATATTTTGGCAGGAATGAACAGAGGAAGGAAGTTAATTTGGGAAGGCATTCCAAAAAGCCATTTGAAAAAAGAAATTTCTGGCTTTGCAGCACAGAATATTGAAATTGGACAAAACACTGGAAAGAGTCATCTAGGAGGGTGAGCTGTATTCCCTTCATTAATCCAGGGTGGTTTGTGTCCTTTAGCAGTTTAGATTTCCATGAAATTCAAACAATGGGAAAAATAAAATGTTGAGCTGTGATATGATCTTAGCTTTTCTACTTAGAGCTGGCAGTAGGTGTTGGGAATTAATATTTGCTGAACTATAAGTAAGGAAAGGTTATAGAATCATAGAATAGTTTGGGTTGGAAGAGACCTTTGGAGGTCATCTAGTCCAACCCCCTTGCAGTGAGCAGGGACATCTTCAACTTGATCAGGTTGCTCAGAGCCCCGTCCAACCTGACCATTACTGTTTCCATGGATGGAGCATCTACTACCTCTCTGGGCAACCTGTGCCAGTGTTTCACCACCCCCATGGTAAAAAAATTCTTCCTTATATCCAGTCTAAATCTATCCTCTTTTAGTTTAAAGCCATTACTCCTTGTCCTGTCACAACAGGCCCTTATAGTCCTGCTTTAGGTACTGAAAGGCCACAATAAGGTCTCCCCGCAGCCTTCTCTTCTCCAGGCTTAAGAGCCCTAAGTCTCTCAGCCTTTCCTCACAGGAGAGGTGCTCCAGCCCTCTGATCATTTTTGTGGCGCTCCTCTGGCTCCAGTCCAGTAGGTCCATGTCCTTCTTGTGCTGGGGACTCCAGAGCTGGACGCAGGACTCCAGGTGGGGTCTCACCAGAGCAGAGCAGAGGGGCAGACTCACCTCCCTCGACCTGCTGGCCATACTGCTTTTGATGCAGCCCAGGATACAGTTGGCCTTCTGGGCTGCGAGCGCACATTGCTGGGTCATGTCCAGCTTTTTATCCACCAGTACCCCCAAGTCCTTCTCGGCAGGGCTGCTCTCAATCCCTTCATCCCCCAGCCTGTATTGATACCAGGGGTTGCCCCAACCCAGATGCCTGACCTTGCACTTGGCCTTGTTGAACCTCATGAGGTTCATACATACACTTCTTGAGCTTGTCCAGGTCCCTCTGGATGGCATCCTGTCCCTCAGGCCTGTCAACCGTACCGCTCAGCTAGGTTATAATGTGTTGAATGGTGGGGAAAGAGGTACAACTGTGGCTGGCCTTTGTCAGTACTACACAAGGATCTTACTGTCTTGAATATATGTTAGAGAGATGTCGCATGAAAATATTTAAGAATGTTGGGTATGCAAATCATGTATTACTCAGAAACAGTTGGGTGAACACTGAAAAGATTTGAAGTAGTCAATAGTATGTGCAGGTTTGTTTCTGCAAGCTGTTGTATTAGGACAGGTGCAGATAGCCATTATTTTTCAGAGCTCTGATGGCTGGCATAAGATTAGTTACTGGTACTACATGAGGTGATATGGTCTGTGATGGTGCTTTTTGAAACTGTCATGCTCATAGACTTCATTAATTTCAGTAAATCTTGTCCTGTTCCATGTACTAATTCTCTGGTACTTTGGACAAGAATATATCATTGCTACACATAAGAGCATGAGTATACCTGTGTGGCAGATTTCTTTATTTCATTATTCGCAGTACAGAGTACACACAAAAATGTTCATCTTTTTGCGGGATGGTTCTTGATGGCACTCTGTGGTTTGCTTTGGAAGAAGAGTAACTTGCAGACAATATTCATAACTTTAGCTGTGTGGTTTCTCAGTGATCTATGAGTGTTTCTTCCCATTCTTTGACCTATAATTCAGTGGGGTATGACTTGTTTATGGGGCTCTTCAGAATCACTTCATCATTGCAAACAATGACTCACAGTTATGATCTTGAACGCTTTTGGATCTTCTCTTGCATCTCACAGATGGTATCTCTTATTAGATGTCAGACTGTCTGTATGTGTTGTAAAACTCATCTTTATTGCTAATGACCAGACGTGTTCTACGAGCTCTGTGTAAAGTTGATGCAATTGTCGTTGAACCAGTATCCTGCCATTAGTTAGTAATATAGATAACCTAGCTGGAGATGTTCCAGCAGGAATTGCTTTTTAAGTTGTTACTCTGCCTAAACTTGCCTTGTTTGTTTAGTGATCCACACTGTGCTGAGGGAATAAGGCTTAATAACTATGCCAGTACTCTTCTAATGCTCAACTCTCTGCTTTGCGCAACAATTAACGTATTTTTAAATGAACTGACAGCAGACATTTTTGTTGCAGGGAAGTTGAAAGTGAGCAGGTATCCTATACTGCCTTGGCTCACTGACACATCATTGTGGACCAGAAAATTGAACCCAGTCCATCTTGGGATTATTTTGGTATGTAAGTGAACAAGGATCTGACCAGACCTTTCCTTTTTCTTCATACGTTGAAGCTGTGGTATTCTCTTCTTGCATCTTTTAGGCAACATGTCTGGTCTTTTCTCACAATATTGTGGTCTGGCAAAGGCACTTCTGTGATAACATTCTCTGCTTTGCAGCGCTGACTTGCAGCTTTTTGGGGGCTTTACTCCTTTGAAGAGAGGCTTACCGGGAGTTTCACTTATGTGATGCAGTGTTTCTTTTCTGCTCAAGTCTATCGATATCATCCCAAGCTAGAGTAGTGTAGAAGTGATGGCATATATGTGTCAACATCAAAGCCCATTTTGTTCTGAACTTGATCCTAGCTTCTGAAACTAAAGGGATTTGTCATTCTCTTTAGGTGTTCATTAAAACATACAAGTGCTGATCTATTTAATATTCAAGGAAGTTGCATTTTTGTCTGCCAGTGACTTTACAGTATATAATGACAAAATATGCTTTGAATTACTTATGTCGCTTGTAACTGCATAAACTGAATCTTGGCTGAAGGAATTTATTAGCTGCGTTGCTCTGGTAGCTAAGCTTCTTTTTGCTCCTAAATACTGTTGGAAGAAAGCATGTGGTGGAAGCAGATACATTTATAGAGTCTTGGTTCTGAGGGTGGAGCAGCCACAGTTCATTCACACCTTGTTCTTTTGGTATCGTCTCTCATCTTCAGGGATGCTCTGCTCAAGCTGCTGAGGCATCTGCTGCTTTTGATTTCACTGCTTCTGACTTCATCTTTAGTTCTAGATTATCTATGGCAAGTTTATCCATCAACAGGTTGTCTGGATATATGATAAACTTTCCTTTTGTCATGATGAACATCTAGTGTTCCTTCAAACTCAACCTTCTGCTTACAGCAGATGTGTGTCTTGGTTGAATCTTTAATTTACTAGCTTTCAAGCAACCTAATCTTACTCTGAGATCAGTCACTGTTATAACCTCCTAGTTATAAGAGATTATTTCGGATGAATGCAACCTGTTCTTGATTTGCAACACTTTCTTTTTCTGCATAATCAAATTCTCTGAGATTAATCGATTTTTTTTTTTTCCGTTATTTTTGTCCTCTTCACTTCTAGTATTCAAACAATAACAGTTTTGGTGATACTGAGCTCCTGCAACCACTGTGGTATTGCTAATAATAGCAAAGATCCTGTCATCCATTGTCTCTTATGCGTATTTTGTGATTGAGCATCTGCACGCTTACTCAGTACTCTAAAGTCTCGTTCTTTTTGCGACTTTTTTTTTTTCTGACAGAAGCTATGTTCTATCTTGAATGCTGCTGTTCAAGCATCGGTTACCTACTACAGGTTTTTCTTGCAGGACTTCTGTTTTGACACAGCAGCATTCAGAAAAGCATAGTGGGTTTGTGTTTTCACTGGGAACACGCTGTTGTATTTCAGAAGAAGTTGAATCTGTGATGTTTCACTTTCATTCGGGTTTCCAGCAACAACAAAAAACATGATTGCAGATTTTCGTGGCTTTCAGAAATGTTCTCTAAGAATTTTCCAGAAATTACACTAGATAGACACTTCAGTTTGAATTTATGTGAATTATACCTCTTCTGAATGCTCATTTGGAATATTATCATTTGGTTCTCTTGCAGCATTGCTACAGAAATTTTTTGAGTTTCAGGCTCGCCGTTGAAACACTTATAAGCTACATTCAGATTTGCTGGCTTTGTGTAAATAGTTCACAGAGAAACAATTATCATCATGGCATCCTGTTTCCATTTGTGTGAGGATCTCGGAAAAGTTACTCATGAGGAAAACTTGTAACATAAAACCATTACTAAACTATGCAAGTAAACCTACCTGACTTGATATCAAATATTGCTGATGGTCCCAAAATCTACCAAGTTATGTGAATAATGCAACATGTTGGACCACGTCTGCAAGGACAGATCATGAATATGCATGGTGTAGCCAGTTTAGCTTATGGTCAAGGAACTGAGATTTCATTTGTGTGTTCCTTAACCTGTCTGTCTCTTGTTGTTTTTAGGACGTTGAGTATCACTGCCTTATAGGTTCTTAAAAGAGATGTAGTTGCAGGGCAGCCTTGCTCGATTAGCAAATTCTATATTACCTTTGTTTTGCAAGTGTTTCGGACAGGAAGGTAGATGTTTGTTTCTTACTGTGTTAAATGTTTGTAACTGTGCAGCTTTGTGTGTAATAACACTTCACTACTCAAGATAATGATAGCTATTATGTAGCTGCCTTCATTGCTAACCTGATTTTACAGGTGAGAAACTGGAGACAGTGTCAAGTAACCTGAATGTCACCATCTTTCCTTTTCCATTCAGTCATTAACAGTGTAAAACACCATAGCGTAGAAGCAGCTTTTTCTTCTCTCTAACCATGTATTACAGAATCACAGAATGGTAGGGGTTGGAAGGGACCTCTGTGGGCCATCTAGTCCAACTCCCCTGCTGAAGCAGGGTCACCTAGAGCAGGCTGCACAGGACCTTGTCCAGGCAGGGCTTGAATATCTCCAGAGAAGGAGAATCCACAACCTCCCTGGGGCGCCTGTTCCAGTGCTCCGTCACCCTCAGAGTGAAGAAGGTCTTCTTCATGTTCAGGTTGAACTTCCTGTGCTTCAGTTTGTGCCCATTGCCCCTTGTCCTGTCACTGGGCACCACTGAAAAGAGCTTGGCCCCATCCTCCTGACACCCACCTTTCAGATGTTTATAAGCATTTATTAGGTCCCCTCTCAGCCTTCTCTTCTTCAGGCTGAACAAGCCGAGCTCCCTCAGTCTTTCCTCATAGGACAGATGCTCCATTCACGTGTACCTTCCCAGTAAATGCTCATACAATCAGAAATTTGGGGGAGAATTGTTCCTTATGAATCATCGGCTCTACTTAGAGTTACATTTTTCAAAATGGAGAATTTCTGCTAAAAGCTGGAGTTTAAAAAAACAAAACAACAACAAAAAAAAAACAACAAACAGGCAAAACAAAACCACCACCACAATCCAAAGACCTTTCCATTCTTTTGTTTGTAAAATAGATTTATATTCATAATGCTGAGTATGGTTCAGTGGAGTGCCTGGAAGACACCTTGAACCACTTGTTAACATGAAGTTGTTTTCTAGAAATTTTGGAATCTACAGTAGTCCTAGAACAGGTTACTTTTGGTTAGGGGTGGACAAAAAAGGGATGTTTGGCAGAAGATTCCAGCTGAGTTTCAGTACTGCTTACCCAGAGTAAGGGTAACTCTTTGGTTGTAAGAAAACATGACAGTTTGCTGGGAAGACAGTTGCTCATGATTTGAGCTCTCTGTGTGTGTGCAAATATACATAATTTTATTATGTAGTAGCAGGAAAAGAGTGAGATTGTGTGAATTTCAGAAATGAGAATATGCCCATCCATGCTTTGACTGTGCATTTTAGTCTAAGGCTGTACTTCCTGAAGATGGTCACAGTCTTTGTTTTATTTTCATCATGTTCTTTCCAGAAGCACTTGAGCTCCACAGGTGTAAGAAAGTACATTGCCTTTGTTGCTGTTTGAGAACTATGGTATTCAAGATTTCTTATGTCATGAAAGTGTTGGGAACATCACAAGATGCTGGTCTTCTAGTATCCACTTATGAAGCTTCTGCTAATTGCAAATTAGAATGAACTGCTTCCTAAAACTTATTTCGCAACAGAATTAAGGCTGAGAATGTATATCAGAAATCCAGAGTAAATCGTATTAACAAAGCTGTGGTTATCGCAAAATGTTATAAACCCTGTTCGCTTCCAAAACAGTATAAACTAGCCAGGTTGAATCTGATTTATAAGCTATAAAACATTACCACGGATATCTATCAGAATCTGAGGGTGTAAAATAATGTTAATAATGTATTTAAAAAATCTACAGATATTGGACCAATTCATACCCGTTTATTTTGGTAGCAAAACTTACCTTTATTCAGACAAGAACAACAGTATGTTTTTGTCCTTGGATGTACAATATCTGATTTCTTTGTGTCTAAATTGTTCTGTTCTTTCAGGAGTCACTGTTTTTAGACAAATTACTATTTCCAATATATGTAAGTTCTTGTGTAGAAATAGTTAAAGCAGTGAAGCGAAGCTAAATATTTGGTATTGCGTCATCTTTTACTGGTGTTGCTGCTCATTATTAAATACTTCAGAGTATTTCAAGTCCCTGACCCAAAAAATGTGGTTTGATTCACCCTGATCATTTTTCTTACTGTTAATTCGATGGGCATTGTTACAGTACTATCATAGCGATGTGATTTTAAAACAATCCTTTTTTGTAGTTACTTTTGCCATCTTTTATTGCAAATTAAGATGTAGTAATTAAAATAGTTATAAATGGTTAAGTTGTTGGTTACCTGCTAGAATATTAGTGTTAGAAGATGTTTATGTTGTGCTGAAAGCATGTGCTAAAGTTCTTTGGAAGGTCTGGGTTTAGCACTGCTTTAAATTAAATGAATTAAATTAGGAAAACACATATGGTAGATGTCAATCTAATATCAGTTACATTTTTCATAAAATTTAAGCTGATAAAGCTGTTTCTTCTGTCAAGTATTGTGCCTTGTAGACAGCCATTAAGACTTGCTGAGGTCATGAATCATTTAATTTATGATTAATAACATTATTTAAATATAGCAGAGGCAGCACCATACTTCAGCAGATTAAATTTACCTTTAATGCAGCATCAACAAAGAAGATACAGGCATAAGCAATTTTGAGGATTTTGTTCAGTTGTTCTTTTTTTTTAATAGGAAACCTTTGAAAGGTTAGACCTTATATTAGAACTGATGACCTAACAAGGTTTTCTAGGAGACACACTTCTTGCTATCTCTGTGATAGCATTTTCTTATATAAACATAGAAAATCAATTTTAGTGATGTGGTGATAAGCTGTTTAATTAATGTGGTTTTAAAAGTCAATAAATTTAAATAATTTATAGTCCATCTAATGTATAGAGTGTGCCTGCGAAGGTATTTTGAGTGAAGTACCTCCTCCAGATAGTAGTTGGAGGTTAGCTGCAATGTTTTACAGTTGCCTTAAGTAAACTACAGCTATGTTCTGGGTATTTGGGTTATGGTAGACAATTAAAAGAAAACTGAGCTTGTTTTGCAGAATCTTTTCTTTTGGTCGTAATGTAGCTTTATGCACTTTTATTTAAAAGTGCCTTTCAGCAAATTTATCATTTCAGATCTTAAATACTTGAATCATGGTTTAAAAGGCCTTTATGGTGAAGAGATTATTCCTCATGTAGGATTGGAGTAAGTGCTAGAATAAAAGTATCGCTAACCATCTTGACTGCTGCTTCCTGGTTTTCATGAGGTGAGATAGCTGGAACAGGTTACATGAAACAAGTTTATCTTACAATTTTGGTATACTGCATAAAACATTTAAAAATTCTGAAATGCTCTTCTGGAACTCTGACGTACGTTTAAGCTCAAAATAAGTATCAACTTAAAAATAGATTTCAGATTACCAAGTTGCTTACTTACAGTAAGTATCTTCATCCTTCTTTCTATTTTAACCGTACAGTATTTTAAAACATTGAATGTTAATTCATTATCCACTAGCTTAAAGACTGAAATCTCCGTTAGAGAGACAAGCTAAGTTGGAGGCAATGTCTTTTCTCCACACAGTGTAAGAATATCTCTGAACTTCATAACTAGCATGAAGATCCAAGACAATTCTTTTTTAACTATACATATACATACTGGGTCATGGTGTTCAGAAGATACGCGTACTGCAAAAATCTAGCTTTCTGTGTTTTACTACAAAAAGATACGGCAGTGTTGGAGGGACTCCTTTAGTATGTGTGTCACACCCAAAGATTTCCAGTTTGCAGTCAGTCCATTCTGGTCGATTTGTATGGCAGGTTCCAATAAAGGAATGGTTTAGTTGTCTTATGTATCTTCATCTTCAGGGAACTCAGAAACTGACCTGAGATCTGGGTAAATACTGCCTCTGAACTGCAACTCTTTGAGGGGTTTTTTTGTATGTACTTCTTTAAAGAGGAAATCTTTGGAAATGCCTCTTCAGACCTGATTTTTTTTTTTTTTCTAGACATTTCCCATGCTGCCTATCAGGAAGCTAAATGATCTCACAGTATGTCGTCTTAACTTATTTCAAAAATACTATCTTTGGATTCTGATTTTTACAAAATTGTCTTCTGTAAGAAGTTGTCTTTCTGTTGCCCTTCAAAAAGGGCCATCTGTTACAGAAATTCCAGCTGGTAATAGAATGGGAGAAGTCCTTACAACTAGTAAAGATTTTTCTTGTAACATTGCTTGCCTACTTCCCAAAATGCAGAGGGGTTGGTGAGGTTTTCTTAACAGAAGCAGTGATTTTGCAGAAATGTGAGAATGCTGTTCATCTTCATTCAGCAGCATTAAGCAAGATTCTTAAACATACACACTGATGCCTTTTCTTTCCATAAACTCCCATTACCACTTCAGGTGCATTGCTCTTAGGTTTTTCATCCCATACTGTGTTTCAGCATAATAGAAGATCGGGAATTTGTATTTTACTCCACAAAATTGTGTTCCAAAATACTGGCTTTCATTTAAAAATAAAACAAAAAATGCAACATCCCCCCAACCCAAACAAAACAAAAAAACTCCAACCCACACACCCTAGCCTGAGGGTGAGGCGCCCACCTGAAAAAGATGGAGAATACAGGCAGAATAGACTAGTCTGGTGTTGGCTTACAGGACGTCTGAACCAAGACCTTTCAGAACAATGTGCTGCGGTTCGATGTGGTCTGGGCCATGTGGAACCTCTGGTGTTTTTTTTCCAAGGGAATGCCTGTTGTTTTGCTACAGCCAGATGCTTGACATCTTGGCTTTGTTGAAATACGCAGTAGGAGGTCAAAGGACAGACAAGGTGCTGAAGAACTGAGAATATAAACTGATGAATCAGGTTGTTTAAAAACATAGCGTTTGAAATTCAGAGTGGTAGGTCAATAAATCTTCCTTTCCTGGTAGTTCCCAGTGGGGAATATGGTTGGCCAGGGCAGAGGAGGGTGGTGGATAGGGAAGGAAGCTCTGTGGTAGGGAGTGCAGTTATTTTGAGTAGAAAAGTGTTTCTTAGCATGGGTCATACATATATGGATTTTGTATGACAACTATAACAAAGTATAATAGAAGTATAGCAAAGGGTATTTTAGAAGATAGAGTAAGCTTAACTTTACCATACAATTTTTAAATATTTGCTGCATAATTTGGCCACATTGAAACAAAAAATACCCCCCCTGGGGGGGGGGGGGAAATACTATGCTAAAAGTATGTAACATTATTTACACAGTTTAAAATATTTAAGAGGTGGTGATACAAACAATCATTTTAAATGTTCGTTGTAATGTACAGTGACCTTTTCTTTTTTAAAACGGAAACTAACTTATAGTTGTATTCAGACAGGAAAAAAAAAGTTTGATTTCTTAATTTTGTGACTTAGGCACTTAGAATTTCCAAAATGAGAGTAAGATTATATGGGTAAGATGTCCTGTAGTGTAGAGATGCTTTTAAAAGACCAATTTGGCTGTTTCCAAATGGCAAAAATTTCCGAATGTCACTTGCTTTTATTCTATTCTAAAATGGGGGGGGGAGAGGAAATTGCCTTTGTGCATGTTGTTTAGAGTTGAAAAGTTATTTCATTGGGTAAGTTTTAATAGAGACTTAACAAAATGCTTGTCACAGAAGAAACTTGTAAGAGTCTTCCTTATGCGTAATGTAATAGCATCTGTAGGGGTAAAACACTGTGATCCGTAAAAACTGCACTAACCTCAGCTTCCTCTTTCTTGCTTTTCCCTTGCTTTTTCTTTTTCCCTAGCAAAACACAGGTTTAGTTCAGATTTTTTCCCCCCTCTTCCCCGAATAAAAAGCTGTCCACATTTAGTTTGCATCCCACTCAGTAAGGCATAATTGAAATTACATACATGAAAAAGGCTACAAGAGTTGCTTTAAAATTTTGCTTTGTTTCTGTGTGTTTGATTTTTGGTTTTTTTGTGGGGGTTTTTTGTTTCTTTGTTTAACTTGTAAGACTATTTGCAAGCATCTGTACTGAGATCCATGCTCAATCTCTGCTACATAGCAGGTTTGTGGAATGTCAGTGTGAAAATATTTTTACAACTTTATATTGTAATCAGTTGCTCATGAATGTAAAATAGAAGAAATATCATTAAATGTTACAGAAAATTTGGAGACCTAATTTATCTGAAGGAAAAACAGAAACACCAGCTTTTGAAAGGTAAATACAATCATCAGGTACATATTATTTTATGCACTTGATTTCAATACATGCTGTGTTATTTCCCCAGTAATTGGGAAGAAGTATTTAATTAGTATTTTCATTATGTATATTTTCTGTCATAGAAAATTCTGAACAGCGGTCATAATGTACTTAACAAGACATTGTAGAATTTAGGTTCCAAGTGTCAAAATATGTTTGTAGTAATGCTTAAGCTGCCAATTAGTCAAGATTCATAAGACATTAAATAAATTGTACAGATTGCTTAAAGAAGCATTTTTTTTTTTTTAGAATATTACATGAGTTAACAGTATTATTGGGGAAATTGGGAAATAATTTTAAAATACAGTATAAATACAGTATAAAATGTTAATACTTGGATATTCATTTAGGTTTTTAAAAACATGCCATTTGTGGAAAGCATACTCAATCAAATTCTTAGCAGAGCAAATGTGTGAAATTGTTGGGTAACAGTTATAGCTCTACACTCTAAACATATGCAGAACTGTGGAATTTGTGAGTCTGGGGAAATAATTCAGATCTTTTACGTTACTTTTGATATATATTGTGGCCAGACTTACACTTCATATAATTGATCTAAATTATTACTCCAGATCCACAGTGTGAAATGTCTTCCTTCAGTTACTGATCTTTCACAACTGTTGTTGCTAATATAATCTTTAAAAGCTTAGTCAAAATGTAATTGTAGTTATTTGTTATATATGCGTTTACAGTGCCTTTAAAAAAGGCAGACTGCTTTGAGAGTCTCTCTGTAGGTTACTTCTATTCTTAAAAAAGGTTTTGCTTTATCTCTATTCTGGTCATGTGCAGTGTGGGCTAAATGATTTGAAATTTTACTTTCTCTTAAAATTCTTGCTTAAGAGTTGAGACTAAATGGTTCAGGTATCAGAAGCTAAGTCTGACTTTAAGCTACAGATTAGTAAACAGTCACTGTAATTCTATTTGAATATGATGTACTACTTTCTCCTGTCCTTCAGTTTAAGTAGACAAAAATAATTGTAATATATGAATCTGTTTTCTGTTAAAAGTTCATTTGATACTACTTTATGGGCTTTAAGACAGACATCTGGAGTATTGTAGCTCTAGCACCAGAGATTTTCAGTCCTCAAACGCTGTTCTCTGTTATTAAGCCATGGCAGTTATGTTGATATTAGCAAGTGCTTAGTGCTGCAGGAGCAGATCAGTAGATGAAAGCAGTTGATTCTGAGAATTCTGCATCTTCACTGTGCTGTGGTTCAGGTGTGTTATTTTAGACCAGACTTGCGTTCCCTGGACAGAATGCCCATACTGTGCACATATTCAGAGCTGTGTGGAACGTGCTTGGACTCTTGAGGACCCAACTGCATTAGAAGTTGAAGTACTTGCGGATCAGAGCCTCCGATTCATTTTCCTCAGAAAGAAAGCTAGTTTGCATGCCCTAGGCCTGCTCTGTAAACCAAACCAACCTAAACAGCTTGTGGGAACAGTCAAGGAATGTGCCTCAACCATGGTGGTGTTTCACACCAAACTTTTAATGTAAATGCAGATGTAATACAGGTTTTCCACATATTGAAGATGTGTTTGCACATACTTTGCAACTACTCTGTATGCAGATGCATAAATGTCAACTCTACATGAAGTTAAGTGAATATATATGGCAAAGAGCAGCAAAAAAAAATTGAGGCAATAGGATTTTAAAAGAACAAATATTCAGAGCCTAGCTTCCCTCAGCCTCACTTGGCACCCAAATCTTGCATTTGCTATACAATGAGAAAAAGAAAAAAAAAAAAACCCTCTTTGTAGGCTTCTGTAGATCTAAATGAACTTACTGCTGTGCTTAGTGATCTAAAAGATCACAGTTCTTTGTGGATAATTGTTTTTGTGATGGTGATTGTTGTGCAAAATCTTGCTCAATTTTATTTTTATACTCTGTTTTATTGGTTTAAATGACTGGCAGGAAGGTATGCTGATGAGAGACAGCATATTTCTGCATGAGAACTGAATATATATAGATTTTTCTTTTCTTCCCCACTTCCTCTCCCTCCTTTGCTGTGCTTTGCCAAAACTGAGTGAGAATGAGAGGCTGGGTTTGGATAAAGCTGGGGTTTGGGGTACTAGAAGATGAGCAAGATTGTGGTGGATTCCTTTTATATGTTAAGGGCAGATTTGTCCTTTGAAGAGTTCTCGGTGTGAATCTTGTGTGTTTGTGTGTACATATACGTAATCTATCTGGGGTTTCCAGTGTGGAAACACTGCTCTGCGTGTGTTAATGAGGCATTAGTCATCCCTTAATTTAAACCATATTTTTTTGTGTGTACGTGTGTTCAAAACTTTGCACATGAAGCATATTACTATGCTTGTTAACCCTGCAGCCACACCTCACCAAATGTCATATACATGGACACATATAGGACATATACAGTATGTACACTGTTTCATAAAGAGTTGACTGGATTTTCATATGAAAACAATTCTAAATATTTACTAGCATTTATACAGCTCTGTATAGCTTAAGTGTTTCTCTGGAATAGATGAGATAATTAGGAACAGTTGTGGCAAGACCAGTTGTGTCAGCCACAGCTAACAGAAGGTTCCAAGTGTTGGCTTTCATGGTGGAACTTAATCTTGACTTTTCCCTCAAATATTAGCCTTTGTCCCCTTTTTTCTGGAAGTTTGAAAGAGAGAAGAACAACTTGAATAGAAACTTCATTTGTATATTTGACAATGTCATTTACTGGTTTAGTCTAACAAATGAAAAAAACCTTTCTGTTTGACACAAGTAGCAAATATAGGTGGTGATTTGGTAAAGAGGTTGGCTTATCTCCTGAGTTAATTTCTTATTATGAAAGAAAAATCAGTGTGACGGGATGAGAAGATTTTTATGACTAACTCAGTGATCAGTAGGATTTCACTGCTGAAGGATACCTCAGCAGTCTCTTCCTCCTACTCAAAATATTCCTCTGACTTAAAGTCGAAGAAGGAAATGGAATATTGTTGGATTAGTTTATTTAAGTGAAAGTAAAACTTGAAAAAGGATTTCTGTAGGTTTGTAGTATGTAGCACCTCTTCCAGAATAACCATTTTCTGTAGATCTCAATATCATTTAGCATATAGGCAAAGCACATGAATTGTTTTAAATTTCTGGATCAGTAGAACAACATGTCTAGACTTTTAGCTTGAAAATACATCATAAAAACATAGTATCAGGAAATCAGTTATTCCTTTTAAGAGTCCTGAAAATGTCTGTTAAGGTAATGTTAAAAGTGGTTTTAGCCAAAAATTATTTCAAACCATTTTTAAAACTGAAGACATGAAGTACAAATGCGTTTTGATTAATGAGATATTTGGTGATGATATGTCTCTTGCATTTCTGTCTGCATGTCACTGCTCAGAGACTATTTTCAATTTAAGTTTTAATTTTTAAAAGCTAATATGGGAGACTTAATTGGTCCTAAGTTCACTGCTACATAGAATTTATATCTGAAAACAGACCAACTGTTGTTCTTCCATCTTCCTCCCCCTGCTTTATTTTGTCAGTCTCCATCATCATTTTGGGTAACCTGAGATACTTCTCATTCTGAAAATTTTTGAACTGTTTAGAAATGATAGTAAACTCTTACCAAATTTAAATCTTTACAGCAAAAATTGAGCTTCATCATTGAAAGGATGGGAGAATCTGGTATTCTTAGAACAAATGAAGATAAATATTAGAATCTAGTATTTAAGATTTTGACTGTTGGAATATGAACGTATGAGCAAATTGCATGTAGCAATATGAGCAGACTATTTTGTATTTTTGTGGGTACAGATGGGATCTGACATGTACAGTACAGTCTTGCTTTGGAGCATTCTGATCTATCTTTTTTTTTCCTCGTCACACTAAAGCACTGCATGCATGCGGCTTTACTGAAATAATATAAGGTTTAAACAATCAGTTTGTCTTCAAAGTTCATATGCTGTGTTTTATATTTTATTATACAGTAAGATTCTCTATTTTATGTTTCCTTTTTATAAACATACAGTTTTACTCTGAAAAGTGACTGAAAGCGCTGCTTCACAGATTCACTTTTCCAATGAATCCAATTGGTAGTTGCTGAACTAAATTTTAGATTTCCAGTTGTAAGCTTTTTTGCTTACTTTATTGCAGTCCATTTGACAGTATAAAGGTATGAACTGGCTTCTTGCACATCATCAACAAAAGTTTCCAAGTAGTTGTATCTGCATCTATGTCAAAGAGGCTGTGCAGGTAGAGGAATTGTATTTTGGAAAATTCCATGTGTCACAAAGGGGACAACTTAACCCTCCTTTCTGGAGATGAAATGCGAGGACTAAATAGTACTAATTGACTGCTAAATACAAAGCTGTGTTTGTAAATAGGTAAGAAAAATGTAGCTGTTAATTAAGTTCAGCCCATCTTACTGTGAAAATTTGTGAGAAATACCAAATAGAAAATCTACAATACCACTTTCTGAGTGTCACTTTGCAGAGTATAGCCATATGTTGCTTTATTTAATTTGTTATAAAAATAACTTCTTTTGTTTTTTTCAGCAAACAAGAGCATGACTCTTCAGACAAAACAAAAGAATGCAATAGAAATCAAACTAAAAATGTTGCATCAGTTGAAAAGAAAGAAGAAAACTCATCATTGTCAAATACAGAAAATGTTCCTAGTTTGGAACTTCCTGACAACAGCTCAAAGAATTCTTTGCATGAGGAAGCAGCATGTTGTGATTCAGATAACAAACAATTAGTAGATGGGAAACAAAAATGTATTCATGATGAAAGTGAGTTGAAAACTTGCCAAAGTTCAGATAATGTTATCTTGAATGAGCAGACTAAAGTACATAGCTTTGATGAAACTACACTTTCAGCAATGAACGCAAGGGACTTAAGACTGACATTGGGTGAAGATGTTAGTTTTGAGCAATTCTTGAGAAAAAGAGATGAACCTGAGTCCATTAGTTCAGACATTAGTGAACAAGGCAGTATTCATTTGGAGCCTTTGACTCCATCAGAGGTACTAGAACATGAAGCTACTGAAATTCTTCAAAAAGGTAATGTTGCACCTTCATCAAAGCAAGCTGGACAGCTCTTGGAACAAACAGATGAGACTTCTAAAGAAAGCAGTCCCAACAGAGTGGAAACAGCTATAAACAAGACAGACGAAAATGAAGCAAGCTGAAATTATTTTGATTTTATTGTTTGTTATAAACAATGGTAAGAACACCATAGACCATTCCTGATGAGTGTGCTCATTGATGCCAATTATTAAAAATTAAAAGGGGGGGGGCGACGGAGAGGGAGGAGAGAAAGAGACACTAAAGGGAAGTTTTGTGTATGAAGATAGCATGTATGTGTGTGTACAACTGAATAAACTAATTTACAAAAGGTAACACGTTCAAATACATCTTTCCATCTCTTGGATGTGATCTATCTTACTAGATTGACATTTGAAAGGAGGAATAAGTTCTAATTTCTATCGTTAACTAGCCAAAAATAAGGTGATTTGTTTGCCAAGAAAATATTTTAAACAGCAGAATTTAGTATTAATTCACTTCTAATGCTGAAATAGAGCACACTTGCAATGATGGTTATTGGTCTGCTGATAATTTGGGTAAACAGAACCCTTTGGACTTGGTGTCACATTCGTGTCTGTAAAAGCATGTAAACAGAATTATATGAATCTATGCACCTCTGTACAGGTGTAATCCTGCCAGGCTGTAAGCTTACCTTAATAAACTTTCAGTGAAAGTGGAATTATTACAATAAAAATAGATATTTGTGGGGTTTTCAGTGTGCAGGCTGTGCAGAAATGCCGAACATAACTGTATAAAGTAGAACATACTGCTGAAAGTACTGTAGCTGTTAGGCTTTTACCATTGTTTTGATTATTCTTAGCCGTAGGCCTGTAGGAGTGGTCCGTAAGTCACACAAAAGTATGGTCTCATGTAAAAACTGTTTTAAGCAAAAAGAAGGAAAACCCCGAACTGGAAGCACCAACTGGCATGCATTCTGCCGTTTTGCAGCTGCTACTGGCTAACTGTTACAAAAAGGACACAAGGGCATGTAAAGTAGAATGTACAGTTCAATTTCAGGACTTTTTATAGTCTAAATAGTGTACAGAAAGATGGCTGCTGGTTTTGGTTTGGGTTTTTGGGGTTTTTTTTGTCTTCTAGTTAGCAGCTAGATATAGGAATGCATATGATTAATGGTAGCTTGCTCTTACTTCATTGCTCCATTTGAAACATTCAGAATGTGCTTTTAACTACAGTTTTGTTTCTAATGAATGTTAAATGTTTTGAACAGCTGTTAAAGCACTGCTGTAAATTATTACTTTTTCAGTAAATATTTGGAACAAAATTTTGTCTTTGTGCATGATTTTATGCTCAGTTTGAAACTTTGGGCGTAGTCTTCCCACCCCCTTTTTTTTTTTTTTTAGAAGATTTAGTGACACTTCCCAGAAACTACTTCATCTAAAAGTTGTGAATTTTAAACTTAGTGGGGTTTTTTTATCTGTTGCTGTGTTTTTTGGTTGGTGGTTGTTTTTGTTGTTTTTTTTTTTTTAGAATTAAATGAGCAAGTGCCTATGCAGAAACATATTTTTGTAGCTGTGTATTGTGGTAAGATGTACTAACTTTTCCAGATTATATAAAGATATTTTTCTGGGCAGTTAGCATGCAACTGAAGTCTACTCTGCCCTCCTAGGTTAACTGGGCTCAGCTGCTACAAGTGAATCTAATCAGCAACAGTATCAAAATTTACAGACTGTCCAGCTTATTGCTGAAGCCTCTAAATAAACCACGTCAGTCTCAACATCTCAAACATTGCTTCAAACTCTGAAGAGTGTTATGACTTAAATTTTGAATTGCATCTTAATTTTCATCCATGCAGGTTTAGAAGACTTTTTAAAAGCAAAGTGGAACAGTTTGCATAGTCACAGCTCTTCAAGATCTGCCACTTTAAGAACTTTACATAACAAGACACACGAAAAAGTTGAAAGCAATAATAAGTTGCAGTATTATTTAGTTCTTTAAAGATTTTAGTGAAATCGTTAACTCAAGGTATGATTAACCAGTCTGTCTTTCATGCATGTACACGTGGAAGATTATAAAATACAGCATCACAATGAGGACAGTTTAAAGGACTTAATCAGCTGTGGAACTTGATGTGTGTGTTACTGAAGGAGTTCCTGAATGCGTCTATGTTTAAACCCAGAGAAATCTCTGTAGTATTTTTAATCTGATCGATGATCTTCCATGCAAATGATATATTTGGAATAATGCTCTGATATATGGTGTTGGAAAAGATGAAGTTCAACTGGAACCAGTTGTATGATCTTTGCTTGTAAATTCCTCATGTTTGTCTTTTGTTATGCAATTAAATTTTTAAACCATTTACCATTGTAATAATAACAATTTGGAAGAATTTGGCCACATACTGTTGAGAAAAGTTGGAGAATAAAACTCAGATCGGTAAATCTGCACATTTGGCAGACACATATATTCTCAGATACTTAACATATAAAGCATTGTTTGTTTCAAACCATGTAGAACATGCATATGCAAAAGGTAATGTTAAGTATAAACCACCCAAATATCTAGTGGCCTTTTCAAAGGAAGAGGTGAGAGAGAACTAGATTGTTCTAGCAAGACCATAAGATAGTTTTAAATAGTTAAGTAAGGTGTATCATGAAAACAGTGGCATGGTGTTTTTCTGAAGGAGAAAAAGTAAAATTCATTACAATTTTTCCTACATCAAGTAATTCATTTGCTGACTGAACACTGTATGAGACTGCATAATTATGAAGATTAATCTCTATTGTGTTATTAGAGAGGCTTCCTAGAGACAAGTTAAACTGGTACTTTTGGCTGAAGTCACTCCAGAAAATCAAGTTACATTGAATACATTTTGAGTTATTTGAACATAAATGCACATAATTCACCACCTTGTCTGAGTCATTTAAAAGTGATTTTTTTTTTTTCCCCCCATCTAGCTGTCAGTGGTTCTTATTTTGTGCCATCTCCCTTTTTGTACTTAGGGAAGATATTTTGCCTCAACTTTTCATTCTTACCAAAAACCAGTAACTTAAAGTTAATTCTTGCTATCCATACTAGAATCACCATTTCCCCTTATCTCAAGAGATTTACCATATTTGCTTGAATAATCATTTCAGATTGTTTAGATAATGTTTCTTTGTAAGGAAATCACATGCCATGTGTATGCTGTCTTCATTATTTGCACTTAATGGAAAACTGTTGTCATCATTAGCTTATGGTCAGTGAGTGTTCAGTCATTTGGAGCTTCCTCAAGTGCAGCCAACGTATCAGTCTGCATTGTGCAGTTTGGGAAAGAAACTTTGCGTTCCCTGTGGTTCAGTTTTTCTTTCACAGAATGGATGAATAAACCCAGGAAAAAAAATCAGATCAAATCATAGCATATACTGAGTTCTAAGTATTGGGTGATGATGTATTTTAAGCAAAATTTTTGTAACAAAACCATGTCTACTTTTCTTTTCCTGGAAATGGGGAGAGAGCGAGAATAACTCTGGGCAATAGGTGTTAAATTATGTTCTGTGGTGCTTTACTGCCAGAAGGCATGAGAAATTGAAGGTCAGGGTAAAGAATTTTGAGTAAACACTTTGTATTCTGCAAAACTTTAAATAAAAGATTTCAAAGCTTTTCTGCAGGCATTGTGCATTGTTATTTATATGCTGGCATGTAGAAAGCAGTTATTTTTTTATGCTGTAGGATATATACTAATATTCCACCAAAGACTGTGGCCGTAGGCTGTCACAGTAGAGTTTTGTTAGACTGTTTAGAAATTTTTGTGTAGGGCAAATTTTATACCTGATTGTTCTCGTTTTCATTAGCATTTGATTTTTGAGGCTTGTGAGCTTATTTTGTCTAATTGCATTCTGTATTTTTTTTGATGTATGCTTAATATGCCTCTAATAAAAAAAAATTGGTAAGTATGTTTTATGATTACTTGAATGATTTTTGCTTTTCATAAAACCTTTACTCCAGATTTACTGTAGCTCAGAAGGACAGTTCTTAGTTCTTATATGAAGCCCAGTATGTTATCTTCTTTGAACATTACATTTTTATGCATAATTTTGACTCTAATTTTTCCCCATTAATTCAGTGTGAAAAGGGAAAGTATGTTGACTGCTATTTCATATTAGTTTACAGACACTATGCAGAACGTTCTTTACTATGTTCCTTTAGTTTTGGGTCACTGTGCTAGCTTTAAAATACTTAATGAAAATTTTGTGTTCAGTCATTTCATTGACCCAAAGTAACCATGTTAAGTTGATGTTCCCTGTATATTGCACCGGATTTTTTAAAAAAATAAAAACGTGTAAAATGTTTAGCTGTGAAACACTTCATTTTGAGGCAGATTAATGTAGTTATTCCTGCAAGGTGCTATAAACTTACGTGTTTATTGATGTAAAAATAAACTGGTTTTGTTGTTTCTTACTGTTCAAACTGTTATTTCAGAGAGGCTGAGTTTCACAAAGTTATCGCAAAGATAACGTGTTAAATGTATATCTACATTTAAATTTGGGCAAGTTTAGCTTCATATTAAGAAAATGTTAAAATTACACGTATGGGCTGTGTCAGACAATTTAAAATAATATTAATTCCACAATGAAAAACTATTAGCTTGTTAGCAACCAATTCTCCATTCTTTAAACATTTTTTAAGTAGCATTGCTAAATGAATGCCTTAGGAGTTTAATGCTAATAAACTTAGTTTTATGTTTTAATTCATTATGTTCTCAGTGTTAGGCATTTAATTAAAAAGAGCTCTTTTCCCCAAAAATGTTGGTGAATGCAGTAGCTTATAATGGTATCTTTATAAAGAAAGTTGCCTCATACTGATAATGTGGTGGCCTTGAAAATGCAACCTTTGTAGGTTTTGCTCTTAAATAGTATAATTAGGAATTAATCCTTTTGACTAAAGGGAAGTAACCTGCAGGTCTGTCTCTAACAGCCTCTTGTGACTTTTTCATTCTGATCCTGTCACAGTATTCTAGCAACAAATTGAAGTCCGTACTTTCCTCTCTTTTAAGGCTGTAGAATTGGATCATGAATACTTAATAGTTTTTAAGTTTTTATATATTTGAATTGCCTGGGTGTTTGCTGCCTGAAATGAGGATTGAATTATGTGTACCAGTTTTTCA